GCCCCATGTAGAGTGCATTGCAATAGTCTATACGGGAGATGACTAGGGCTTGAGTGACTGACTGAAGGGATTCTGGAGCCAGAAAAGGGTGTAACTGGTGCTGAACACGTAGTTGAGCAAAGGCTTAAAAGAATAGGAAGATTTAGGTTTGAGAAAAAGGAAGTGGAGATCCCAAGTAACAGGACAAAACATCACTTTAAGAGTGTTCTTTTTCACCTTTCAAATTGACAATCTGAGAAAATTTTAGTTGCTGTATTTTATCAAAAGCTGCATCCACATCATCCAGAGTAAACAAAGTGAAGTCTTCCGTATTATGGCGTGACTAACCAAAGAAAAAGAAAAGGAAAATATTCTCAGTTTAAATTAACAGCACTGAGGGAAAATTTAAAATCATACTTCTAAAAAAACAGAGGTATAAATTTTACCTGATAGAGGTCATACATGAACATTTGGCCCATTTTGTATACAGGAATAGTTGCATAAATAGCACAGTTCAACCCCATCTTTCCTACTGCATATGGGAGAGCACCCAAGTGCAAAGGATCAGGATGTGAAAGAAGTACTGCATCAACCTGGTGAACATGTCTATAAACAAAACAAAGGGATAAAATCACTCCATTTCATTATCTAAAAAAAGAGTACTTAGTGACAGTATAGTGTACATCATTTGCGAACTGATACTTCCCATCCAAAATATGTCTTGGGTCTAGAGTTCTATTTTTAAGCAGGACTTTCCAATGAAATCAACCTGTCTCATAAAAGCTCCCCATCAATAGAAAGGAGCTGTGATTCTCTCTGTAGGCTCTAATGTCCTGCTCTCCCAATATGCTCTGGAGGACTTCCAGAACAGAGCAGTGATCCTGATCTTCAACCAACAGGAAGTATGAGCAAAACTGCCACTAACAGAATATTCCACTAGACTGAAACCACTGCATGAACTGGAGAAGCCTTCCATTCATAGAAAAACACCTAGAAATCAAGCTTCTGCTTTCATGTTTTAGCATGTTTCACTTCCAAGGAACATGGGGAAAAAAAACAAACTTCTAGTTCCAGGGATGAAACTGAATTTGGATAACAATGTTCAAAACTCTAGTATTTAGTAAATCTTGCGGATACTCCTGTCATCTGAGACTAAAGATTATGCAAAGAAAGGCAAAGTGTACATGTATTACATTATTACAGTGTAAACTCAGGAAGCTATAGCTAACGAAAATCTTACTCTGTAGACCTACTCTTATCAAATACATTCTGCATGCAGAATTTCCACATATGGAATCTAATCAAAAGGCATTGTTTCTGTATTTGAGAAGTTCATTGAACAGCTGTTCCATCATCATAACACCTTTCTTGCATTTATAACCAGGAAAATAAATGTAATTCCAACCTATAAAGTGGCACAGATTCTTAATTATAATTTGATCCTGCAATTTTTGTTGCTGTCTCCATGAACATTTAAAATATATTACTGATGTAAGTAAAGCAACTCAGAGGTCAATATAAAGCAGAACCATTCTAACTGCTCAGCAAGGCAATTTTCATATATAGTAAGGAAAACATTATTCTTGATATAAATGATAATTTTGTACCACAGATCTTTAATAATTTAAACATCCACAATAGTGCCTTATATAATTATATAAATATGCAATAATAAAAAAAACATTGGATTTTGCAAGGGTTCAGCTCTTTAACTGAAGTCAGATTCTACTTACTTCCTCAGGGAATCAATGATGTCCATAGAAAAATTCTCATCCCAGCCGCAATCCAACAAAAAGCGAAACTCATCTACCTGAAGTAAGTAGCAGAGAGCAGATTCTTCCTGAACCCCTGAGAGGGTTGTTAGCTTGATAATTGATGTCATTTTTCTTTCCCAAATGTTCTCACTAAAATAGTTACTGTAAGGGAATAAATTATGTTTTAAAATCCTTTTTTTTTTTTTGGTTATAGTTTTCTTTAAACGTACAGCTGTAAATTTAGAGATACTTTATATTGTATTATTTCAACATATTTCATAGACACAAGTCCCCAACAGTCAACACAAGCAAACTGGAAGTTTCCCCAAATCGATCTATAATGATCAAGACTTCATTGTGATTGGTTTAAATTGCAAGGTTAGAGATATAATCAAATACTCTCTTTCTTATAACAAATATGAGAATCACTTTTCCTCAGCATGGCGAACAGGGATACCAGAAGTAAGGGAAGGGTATACCCTCACCTCAGAAAAAAGGAATCAGGCACTTACTGACAGGTATCATAATAGCATGGATGTAACAATAAATTATGATTCAACATGTGAACAAGCCTCAGATTTATCAATGTCTCCTCTGCTCCATTTTGGTACAGCCTGAGAACTGAAAATTTTCACTACAATTGTTTCAACATAAGCCTATCACTAGGAGTATATATGTGCTCCTCCCACTCTTATATAATTTTGTGAAACATATTTCCTACTTAATTCTGACATTTATTAGATACTCACATTTTTAAATTTATTTTATTAGCTAAGGCTAATAATAGTTATCAGCTAATGGCTAACATTATACTTTGTATCAGAAAAAGTCATCAAACACAAGTAGCTGCTTCTTTGGACCTATCTCTAATTTTACAAAATCAAGTTGGCTTTCATCTATAGCAGTGGCGTCTCAGCAATCAGCCAAAGATACACAAAATAACCAACCAAAAACTAAAAGCGAAAACGGAAAGTATACTGCGGAGCAACCTAGCCATTCCATCTTAAGGAGTAAAAGAAACAACAAAAATTATCTCACACAAACTCCTTCATTCAAACCCAGGTGGCTCAGCAAAGTTACAGAAAACTTGTATCACGAGCAGAAACTACTCCATTTGCTGAGGATAGGCCGTCGTTTGACAGATGCAGCCTTTTATTACGGAGGCTTTCATTCGTCTTTTAGATCTGAGTCCCAAATCCTCACCTAGGCTCTAAAGAGGGCTTCGCTAAATCTTGGTTGTCAGCCCGAAATTCGCGGTGCCCGAGCTGCGCGGAAGTCTTTCTTCCGCAAGCTCGGGCATAGCTGTTGTACCCATGCCTCCTTAATTTTCCGCCGGAAGAAAAGCGGGGAGTCATGCACCATTCCTTGAGGAGTGAGCCGCATTAGGGGAAAGCAAAGTGTGCCTAACGCGGCTCCCCTCCGATACACTTACTTCATTCTTACCTGTTTAGTACCCCTCGTTATCTGCGGGCACCTACATTTAATGGGAAACTGGAAGGAAAAAAAGGGAAACCCGCACATGCCCACTCAGCCACCCCCAGCCCAGCCTACAGCCACTGCCGCCATTTTGGGGGAGAAACCGGCAAGCTCGTTGGAGGAAGAGGAGCCGCCGTGAAGGAAGAGACACGTGGATTGTACTACCTACACAGTTAAGAGGGGGAGCAGTGTCAGTAGTATCGTAATTCTTACATATATTATCCACCTGAATTGTATTTATAGTCATGCTTTAAGGGAATCTAATAAGAAATTGACTCCCAAGGGGATGTATGAAGTAAAGTAGCTTTTCTACCCGCACTTCTTTCCCCGCTCGCCTTAATGGTTTCTCCCGGATACTCGTAGCTTGTCCGTAAGCTGTGCGGTCGCTTTGAGGTTAGCCGTCTCTAGTTGAGGCCTAGGCCGTCAGGATCGGTAAGGTTACAGTAGTGTTGCTGGGAGCGGAAAAGGAGAGTCAGAGTGGGAGATAGGAGGGTACGTCTGGTGTCTCCAGGAGGCGACATTGGTTTGCCAGTACTGGATCATGCCATGCACTCTGGAAGATCTCGGGGTTGTCTGTCACTTTACCTTTTCAATCACTAATTCAGACTGGATGCATGTGTAGCTTAGTATTACTTAGAAGGATGGCCTCCTATGGCCAAATGGGGTGTATTCCTAGGTCAGTTGTTGCAGGGTGTACAATAATATTCTGGGCAAGATATGTTGGGGAGAGATATTACTCGAAGAAATGAGTGAGACTAGAGAAAACGTTTGATTTAATTTAAATTAGTAGTTGTGTTCATATACAATGTAACTCGTTCAGTTATAAGCATGTTAAAAGTATGGGACAAACATAGAAAAAGAATTAGTCCAGACATATTGCCTTTACTTCAGTGCTAAGTATTTATTTTCATAAAAGTGAATGTACTAAGAATTTTGACTAGCAGAGAGACAACTTGTATAAACTGCACAATTTTATTAGTAAGGCAAAAATCAAACCTTTTGAGATTCTTCCTTCAGAATGGTAGAATTTTTTCATTGGTTTCTGTACCTCCAAATAAACAATATAGTTTTAAATGAATTACGCGGTAGAATACTCAGAGACTTGATTGAATTTGAAAAAAAAATTCAAACATTTCAGAACATTTGCTGAGGCTTATTTACAGGTTGTTGGTAAAATATGATTCAGAATCTGTGAGTGTATGATTAAATGGATGCAGAATTTAAACAAGACAGTTGACATGTAACTATGGGAATATCAATGGAAGATAAAGATTAAATTTACATTGAATATTACACTTATGGAAAATTAGTTCAAGATGCTTTAGTAAAGATGCATTATTCCAACACTGATTGCTATAATAGATCATTTATTCTCCGAAAACTGTTGGAAATGCAGTAATCAGGCCAATTCTGAAAGACAATCTATGACAATGAAAGACATTTTAAAAGTTGAATTCTTAATCAGTGGTATAAACAGATGAATTAGTGCAAAGACAGATTTATAGGGACATCTATTTGAGTCCCCAAACTTTTGTCCATAGGAAACTGCTCACCTATACAATGCCTGCCAGGAGTACATAGTTGCAAAACAGAGATTTACAAGAATGCTACCTATCTCCATCCTTTCTGCAGGATGCTTCTTCCCTGCTTACCTTTGTCTTTTTTTTTCTATGATGCAACCAAGGTATTCCAAAATGAGTATCTTACTCCCACCTGATCTAGAGGCAGCATTATAAAGGCTTCTGACAGTGGTTGCTGTGAGAGTTGAAAGCTTGCTTCCCCTGTTCCAGCCTTCCCTTGCTTTGTATTGGGGTCCACTGAACATCCACATGGCCAGGATTACCTTGATCACAGATTTTCCTTTACTTTCATCTTTCTTCTGGAAGCTTCATCCCACTGTTCAAAACCTAAATTATCACAATTTGGTGCTTAAGGATTCCTCAGAGCAGTGTTTCTCAGTCTTAGCAGCTTTAAAATGAGTGAACTTCAACCCCCAGAATTCCCCAGCCAGCATGCATGCCATAAAGCAGTGTTTCCCAGCCATTTTAAGATGTGTGGGTGGCTGGGGAATTCTGGAAGTTGAAGTCCACACATCTTAAAATGGCTAAGGTTGAGAAACACTGCCTTAAAGTGTTCTGACAATTGGAGACAACTTCCATTCTAGACCATGCAGCATTTTATCCCCCTGCCTCCCTGCTGCAATTCCTTCAAGACCAATGTGGGAGCTCCTGAGTCACCAGCCACAAATATCTTGGAGCTACTTGATGGCATGGTCACTGGAGGGGAAGAAAGCTGGAGGTGCTTTCACTATACAGTGATGCAATAAAGCCAGGCTTTGCAAGGTAGTAACTCCTCCTGAAATCCCAATACTTTATCAAATTTGAATTCTCTGAGTTCTCTTTCTTGCTTTTTAGTTTGATACAGGAGAAAAGTAGTATCTTGTCCCATGAGAACAGTCAGACATCTTTCTAGCCTTGCATCTGGAGTGGGAGAGGAAATATCCATTTCAGAATGCTATAGTTCTGCTATAGAAAAAAAATCTCCATAATAAATTCAAATTTACTGTCCTGGCCAGTGGCACACTTTCAAACAAAGCATTGGGCTGCAGCTATCCATTATTTTTACTTTCTAAGAATATATGTGGAGCCTGTTGATTCTTAGAAATAAAGATAATTGATTTATTCAATTTATATAGCCGTCCATTTCACATTTATAACTCTGGACAGCTTACAATTAAAACATAAACAATGCCAAAAACAGAGAATAAAACTGATGATGGAGACTGGCCTTTTGTTTTTGTACCTCCCAGTTTTTTAAAGTTTTCTCCTTTTTTTTAACCGGGTGAGGTAAACTGTTCTGCTGTTTAATGGGCAGGTTGGTGATTCTTTTTAATGAACATTTATAAGCACTATTAGCCCATTTTGGCTTTTCATTAACATGTATTATACCGTAGTAAATGGTATGTGTCAAAATACATATGTATGTACTGCATGTATCAAGTGTGAAGTGATTGTAACTTTGGGATTACAAATTTGTGAACAGGATTTTCACATTTCACTTAGATTGTTAATTCAGCTGCAGTTCCTTTGACTTGTTCCACCATCACAAGCGTGTCTCTGTGGGGGAAAGTGTGGCAAATGATGAAGCATGCATCTTGATACAAAGTCTGCTTCTTTTGTATGTAAGGGGCAAGCTTACATTGTGACATCCCCATGCATGTTTCATCATTTTTCATCGGCTTGTGGATGCTTCTATACCATCTCTCTACACTACAGTCCAAAGACGTTTTCCATATAAAAGTGCCTCTGAGTACAATTTTTGTTATGTATTGTTTCCTCCATAATTCCCATCGATCCAGTTGGACTTGTTACATAATAAACTTGATCAAATATGTCTCATCTTTTATTATAAGTGCTGTTGCTCATTTAATTGTTCTGAGAATGCAGCAATATGCTATTACATGTAATCCTTTCTTTGTCCTTTTTCCCTACAGTAACTATGATAAATATTATCCACTTGGTGCGAGATCACTGGGGTGTTGCATTGTTTCCCATAGGATTTATGGTGGGATGGTACTTTGACAACAGAAATGATGAAAAGCTGGCAATATTCAGAAACAAGAGCAAGTTATTTCAAAGGTTAATTATTTTAATTGACTTCTTACTAAGCAACATATTCTTAATTAGAAAATTACTTTCTGAAAATTATATTTGAGGAAAGTTATTGATATAGTTAATGCATTTTCATTGTTGTGTATAACAATAATTCACAATTATTAAATTCTGAATTTAAAGAATTTATCTTGTAATGTGTTATGTGTAGTACTGTTCCTGAAGATGGTTTTGAAGCTTTAGGTAGTACAGAATATGGTTGCCACATTCCTAGACAGGCATGACTGATATTCATCCTTATTGATTTATGCCAAAGCAGTTTACCTGTAAAGAAACACCTGTGCTCTATTTTTCCCAACTCTAGAATTTAAAATAAAGTACTGTTGCTTCTTGCCCTGTCTGCAATTGTTGCAAATTTAAAATGAAGTATTGCCTCTTACCTTGTCTGCAATTGCCGCAAATTTCCTTAATAGAATCAACTTCTGTATCAGGTTGCAAGTGCTTTAAAATCTGCCAAAGATTTTCTCTCTCTTACTCTTCAATCCTTGCTTAACCTTAGAGCATGTTTACAAAACATACCTCAATTAGTAAAAATAACAGGTAACTTGGCTTATCCACTGCATTTAGACAGTTGAGAAAACTAAAAGCTGCCCTGGTTATATCAGGAGCAGCATCTTAAACAACATTGTAGTTCACCTTTTTGGTGGCTATCTGGATGCTATTCCTGTTGTTTTATAATTTAGGGGGGAAATGTGAGCCAGCTGAGATCAAAGCACTGCAAAGAGAATGGGGGAAGGCTTAGTTTTCCCCAACCATTTGTATCCTCATTTTGCCTCATATATGTGCAGCTGTGGGTGGAGGGGCTGAATAAATTTTGCAGCTGGAGCATTCAGAATATTCCTCTTTTCTGGATGCATACAACATGGGGAGCTCAGGATAAGATAGGTAACCTACAATTAACCTTGGCAATACCAAAGGGGAAAAAACTTTTCGTAAACATCTGCAGGAACAAGCTATTTATGCATGTAATTGTATATATGGAGAATACCTATCCATTATATCTGTGAGAAACTTTTGCTTTCCATTTTTTTAAAGCTACTTATCAGCCTATTTTTAAATGTACTGTATAATGTACTCACCTGGCATAATTTATTTTTAAAGCTGTAATATTTTTTTTCTTTTTCCAGGGAATTGAAACCTGATGAAGATACTGTATGGAAATAATGTGTCAAGTGAGAGCTGTTTCCCTAGTTTCCTCGCTCCATGATGAAAACAGAATCTAGTATTCCCTTTGTTCAAAATTTGATTCCTAAAAAAGTATGTAGCCTAACTATATAGGGCAGTTCAGGCATTCTGTTTGGAGTGAGGGTGATGGTACTCTGAAGGCTGGTACAGAGTGTTCCTAAGAAACTGCTCATCTCTCTGAACTTGATCAGATACAAGATTGTTCATATATATATTTTATGCACTTCCTGGAATTTTTTTTCCCTTGAGAATTGATAAGATCTTCTCTTCCTGCATTTAAATAAAAGTACTTTGAAATAGACTTAAAACACATATTGCAAGTTTTTACAAAATCTTATTGATACCACCTTTGGGGGGTTTGATTTATGGTGACTGTAATATTTAGTTCTTTAAGTGGTGTTTGGTTTCTATTACTTATATATCATATTGAATGTGTGCTTGTAGAAAATCTTAGCATGCTGGGCTATGATTTCTTTAGCTTTGACATAATGTATGTTATAAATCCAACCAGATGAAGTTACTAAAAAAGCCCCAGCTAAACAAACCATAGCTTAATGTGTTGGATGTGAGAGCAATCTGGCTGCGAGATCTGTTACTCCATTGACCTTCAGGGTTGATTTGGCTGGGTAGGCAGGTGTTCTTTTGCATCCCACCCAAAGCTGCACTCTCAGCAGAAGAAGATGAGCATCCCAGATAGTATATTATTCTTTGATCAAAGGTATACAATAGTTGTGCTCCCCTGCTAGAATCCCAAATAAGGTCATGTTCTACTCAAAGAACATAGATAATGTAATATGTAAGCCAAATCAATAAGTATCATGAAGATTGACTATGAAATAAGGGTTGATTATGTCTAATAGAGCTTATTTCCAGAGAAGTGAGTATTAAATTAGTGTCTCAGTCATTTTTTCCCTTGCTGGACGAAGATTCTAAATGCACATTATTTCATTGAAATCATCAGTCTTAAGCTGGAACTTTCTTTTTAACATTGTGAGGCAAATATACACCTTAGGAAATCATAATAAACCTGACAGAATTCACATATGAACAAGAGGTATAAAACTCATGTTGCATGGAAGAGCAAAACATCTCCTTCCATTGTTCCAGCACATTGAAATCTTCAGCTTGGGTATGGAGTAATTGTTAAATAGCAACATGGTTTAAAAGATACTTTTAAAACAAGGTTATTCAATACTAAAACCTCAATAACAAAATGTTTAATTCCAGAAAGGCTAATGCATTTTTATAATATATGCTTTTCTGAACTACTTCATCAGACATGCAGAGTATTATCTTTAGAGATAATAACTATTTCACCCATGGTAGGGAAAGTAGAGCAACATAAAAGGGGAGATTAAGAGAAAGTGAAACCTAGGAGAGTAAAAATGTAAGGTTCACACTCTAGTCTAGATTTAGACCTCATACAAAATGCTCTAGGTAAATAATCTTAAACCCTAGGGTAAACCATGAATACAAATCATGGTTAAGGACTAGGTTTGGACACCAAGATAAAATTGAATCATATTGTTGCCTAGCACATTCTACAAAGTAGATTTGGTGCCAGAGTGGAGAATGTATATAGCCCAGGGCTGAATTGTTTGTTTCTTAGTGTTCTCTGAACTTCTCTTAGTTGCCTCTTTCCAACAAACTGCTGTTTAAAGGAAGAGGCAGTAGAATGCATTTCAGGACCATAAATGTTAGTTTGAATACTATGCCATAATGATACATTCACATGGGATTCTCTATGCTTTCCCCATCCTGTCATCTAACGCAGATGGCATCTGCATCTTAACACTGTTCTCTTAGACTTGTGATTCTTGATCACACTTGGTGATGTTATTTATACACCATACTTGTATAGTGGCCAATCTTGTGACTCCCTAAGGCAAAAGTAGGTAAAACAAAACCATTGCAATAACTTCAAATGTGTATCTGAAAACCTGTTTTGCTGCAATATTTTATAGTGCCACTATCCCAATTTTATTAGGAGAAAGTTGTGTGCGTGAATTTGTTTTATTTTTTATTCAGAAGTTCCCAGAGGTGATAGCTTGATGAGGCAGGATCTTGGCGTTCTTTTTTTAATAATAATTTTTATTGAAATTTACAGATACAAAGATAAAAAACTAATACAAACTAAGGAAAAAGAAAAGAAAAAAGAACAAGTGCAAAGAAAAAAAATGGTAAATAGTAAGGAGAAAAGAAAAGATATATAAAGAAATGACTTCCCCCTTCATCAAGACAAGTATAATTTTGGAACTTATCACCTCCTCTGATACTACAGCAAAAGATCTCTTCCCATATCTCATCTTTTATCTATAAACAAATTTTAAAGCTTGGTCATTCAATCTTAATCAGCAAGTCCATTAAGAGTTACCAAAAATAATATATTTTTGTTGTTGTTTAGTCGTTAAGTCGTGTCCGACTCTTCGTGACCCCATGAACCAT